GACAAGATAGGTCTATGAGACGATATGTCTACAATATCTAAAGTATTATGGTTTCTATTCACTCTTGTGTAAAAAAGCGTTAGTTAAGTGATTGTTTAGTTGCCTCCAACATATGTGTACAGAGGATATGGATGAAGAAGAAACTCAAAAATTTTCTTAAATATTATCAGGTAATAACCATTACCTAAAATCCATTCAATGCTATAGAAGCGTCTAAAAAGGGATGCGCCAATCCATAGGCTGCCAAAAAAGATTTTTGTATACTTTAACTGATTAAGGTTGATCACCAAATTCTGATCATTAAACAAAGAGTCAGAGTGGCACATAGTAGAATTTGCTATATAGCTCAATTAATTTTCACACAGAAAATTAGATTTATGTTGTCTCGTAAATCTCCAAAGTATCCGGACGATAATGTCACTTCCCACTGTGTTTACCTATTTACATGCATGTGTCGTCACACGTACATAAAGAGAACCCATCGACCCCTGAAAGCGAAGGGTGCAGAACGTATTCCTAGCTGGTCGCAAGAAGAAATAAAATCGTGAACAGATTTCCAACATCACCTGCCTTAAAATATATCATAGAGATGGGTCATAAAGTTGATTACAGCAGTGCCTTTGAACCCACATATATAAAACACCTTTGGTCATATAATTGAATTCGTTGAAGCTTTAGCCATGAAAAGGCTTAAACCTGTTTTGCGTATTCAAAAAATTATTTGTTATTACTATGAACCTGTTTTGGTAATCCAGTTTTAGAACCAAGGTTCATTTCACTTCAAAATATTTTTACCTTGTTCTTCGTAAAATATCCTTCTTACCTCTTATCTGTGATCATCACCTCAGAACATTTTAAGCTACATTGATAAAAATTATAATCCTCTGTGACCTGTTACATTTTATTCAAATATGTATGACAAGTATGTATGTGATCGGAACATACAACACGTATTGAGCAAACACACATTACACATTTCAGAAAAATTACAACTTATGGTATTGTATAAAGTCATAAAGAGAACTAATGGCTTTAATGGAAACGTTCACTTTTAGTAATCGCTTGAATGAGTGTGTTCTGAAGGAAATGAATAAGGAATTGGTTTTCAGTTAGATAGCAAACTCGCATTAGTTGGAGATTCAGTGAAAACCAGAAGTTAATGGATAACTGTTTCGTCCTAGTTCATGACTCTCCTGTCGTGCGCACCGCAGTGAATCAACACCTAACAGTAAACTTACTAAATAAAAACAGTGACAATACAAAATACAAGGGATATTTAGTGAATAATCGAACGTAATTTTGGTGACGTGTTAATTATTACGCTATGTAATTTTTAGTTGCGATGAGAAGTCGTGACCAATGCAATCCAAGAATTTGGGTATGCGGACAAATAATTGCCGATAATATCGGTTAGCGACCACGCTATAAACTGGACCCCATCCTAGTGACCGAAAGATCACAGTTCTTGCCTCCTAACTTGAATGTTTTGGGCTCGATCCCTAAAGCAGATATGGATATTTAACCCTTCAGAGTCCCTAGTCAGGGCGAAACAACTGTTCAGCACTCCCTGGTTCTCAGTGCCTCTATAACAGATGTCAGTCCGTGTTCAAACTTGAAATCAATTATATCACTACAAACGGACACTTGAAAATTTGTCTTCTAGCAAAATTTTAGCAAGGTTTGAATTGGCAGAAGGTGAGACCTATTTTAAAATTCACTGTCAGAAATATACATGGATTCTTGCAGTTATCGAAATGATTTCTTGTTAACCGTTGAAGCAAAATCGATTCACGACTATTGTTTATATGAAAACAAAACACATAGTTCAGCGAAGAGTCTCTCTATCATTTTCTTAGCTGTTCAGTCGCAAATATATATGAGTAATTTTGCATGCATGTGTACACTAAGTTTGTAAAACAAAACTACAATCAGTTATGTCCATTTTTACTAAACAGGTAAAAATTAGAAAGTTTTAGGAAGAGTTACATAATACAAAAACGGTCAAGAAAATCAGGTGTTAATAAAACTAGTGTAGCAACAAAGGTGATGAGTTGTCACAAACAGATGTTAAAAAGGAGTTACGTAATATTATGAATAGTTTGATAATTTACTTGTACTCAGGATACACATGGGAGCAACGTAGGGGATACGAAAGTACATGAGAGTTCTAAATGAATACAAGAATTATAAGCAATTAAAGAACAGGCGAAGAAACAAAATTAAGTCGTCAAACTCAAAGAAATCAAATCAAATCAAAAAAAGTTGTTACCATGATAGTAGAAGTGGTTGAATAATCCTCTTTTCTATGCACAGCCCCGGTTTTTCTACGTGAATGGCCAGAGCTTCAGCGATACAAAGGTACGTTTTTCTTGACTTTGTAGATTACTTTGAAGCAGGAGGCGTTTGTTGAGATAGAGTGATTAGTGTTAACCAGGTGTTTAATTATCGCACTCCTTATAGCACCACTGTTGCCTTTTCGCAACCATGCTGGATAGTGTTCTTGAGTCCTCTTGGACAGGATGCTCGTCGAACGACCGATTTACCTGACTCCACAGCAGCAGATGAACTGGTCTGTGCACATAGAAGTGGTCAGATGCGGGATGATGCAGAGAGATAATGGAACGATTCAGACATCTGTTTTTCGTAAAAAGACATGGGTGGACAGTGACTTCATTTTACTAGTTTTGTTCCTATACAGTATAAACGTTCCCCAGTTAAATTTTTGTTCTCAAGGGTCTGAAAAATATTCACGAGTGACACACTGATGGATGAGTTTCGACATAAACATTCGGTTTTATTAGCTTATGGTTATCCGGAAAACTTTATCACTTCTCACAGTAAAGAAACACTACATCTCGAAAAGACAGCTTCTGTACCAAAGAAAGCTATCTTTATTAACCTACCAGTCAAGGGTCACCAGATTATGCAGTTGACAACTCAAAGACTTCTGTCAGCAATCAAACGCACATTCTACACCACATCTCTTTTTCTCACTTGCCGAACATTTTCGATCCCTGTTCCTACGACTAAAGGACGAAATTCTGTGGAATCTACTTGAAGGTGTATCTGCAAGTTCACCTGCAGCCGCTGTGACACCTGTATAGGTGGAACCAACAGAATGATTCAATGTCGTCTGATAGAACATGTTCCAAAATGGCTACTAAATCATATCGAAAATCCCAACGCGATTAATCTGAATAGAAATCCAGCCTTACCCATTGGAAAATTTTTATTAACATCAGGTCACAAAATCAATATTAATGGCTATTTCACAATAACTCTAATTCAAGGTTGGTTGTTCAAGGTGATGGAAGCACTTTCGGGGATTAATCACATACATCCTAAACTATGTGTATACAAAATCAATAGACTTTAACTTTCCTTCGCCTACCATGGACTACTTGACCTATTTGAATATTATTGGTTATTAGTATGTAATTTTGTTTTTTTACATAACTGAGTCATGAAATTTATTTTATTATTGTTAACCATGTTAGTTGTAAAGCGGTTGTAAGGAAACTACGAAATGACGATATCATCTCGCGAAATTCGTCTTCTAAATGCCTTATTCAAATATATATATATATATACTATGAAACCAAATAATAATTAGTTTGGTTTTCTTTAATCGGAGATGGGACTCATTATTAGTTTTTAACAAAAAATAATTTCCAGTGTTGGTTGTCAGGGATTTGACTGATTAAAGGTTTGATCACGAGTTTTCAGTTGATGGATTTTCTGAATTTATAAAAACAACTTCTGCATATATGTTAAATAATATGGTCTCTTAGCTGATTCGCCGCTTACCATAGTTCCTCGATGGTTACCTTTGACGTTCATCTAGACTGTATTATATTCTCAAATAAGACCTCTTTCCACACATTTTCTATATTCAAATTTAGTATTGACTGGGTTTGTAAATTAACTTATGAGAATTTTCTCCTTTTGCACAAAGTATAGCTACGTAGCTATGAAAAGTGAAGCATTTTGAGTGATAAAAACATGGTATGGATATCTCGTTCATAGCAGGAACGTAGATATTTCATTTGTATAACTGTACAAATTCAAAAAATCTCCAATTAATTATTGTAGCATATATGTATACATACATAAGTTTAAACTTTTGTCATATTGTTATTATTATTCTTTCGGATTCCAACACTTCATTTCCCGTTCGGGTTCCAATCAAAGACATGATTAAGTCTGAAGGAGCTTGTTGGAGATTCTTTCCGTGATGCACCAACTTCCTCATCCATATAGAAACAGATATCTGATATCAGTGTTCAGCACTTGGATCTTCTTCCTTATGTTGCGAGTAGCAGATTTCAACTCACTAATCTCAGATAATTAAATGAATGTCTTGGTTTTCAGATCCGATCTTCGTTAGCTTTGAAATCGTCATCTGTGTCGCGTGAAGTCATATCTTCACTGTTTCTTCTCTCAAACTATTGATTTTCACCTTTAGATCCTCAAGTTTGCTTGGCATCAGATATAAATTGTCCACGGAGTCCAAATCTTCTATAGCCCTCTTATAGCTATAGTTTTTTTAGTACAAAAAATGCTTAGAAATGTTATGATTATCGGATTTCTAGAGAAAACACAGCCTTGTGGTATATACTTATACTTAGCCAAACTTTCTTTTTCATTCTCATAATCCAATTAACCATAGTGATTTAATTATCTTTAGAAAGGTGCTAGAATATTTCATAAAATCACCTGATAATTAATGATAATAATAATGCTGATAATGGCTAAGACGAAGTAGAGTAGGTGTATAAAGTTTTATGTAGAATATTTACCATTTCTCTCTCTGAAAAAAAACATTCCTTTGTGTCCTTTACATACACTCACAGTACATTAGCTAAATACTTTCTGTACCTGTTTGTATTGTTCTAGCTGGCCAGAGAAATATGTGAAGAGAAAGATGACGCCATTAGATAGACATCGGATGATTTTACATTTATATATATATATATATATATATATATATATATAGGTTTATATTTATAGACAAATATCATCTGGAATTGCCGAAAGGAGGAGTATCATACAATGCTACAATTTGAGAGATCAGTTTATGCCTCTGTTGCCATTTTATACAGTATGTTCAATTGTTGTTTTTATTTAAATTATTCGCTTAATTATAAGTGTGTTCAATATGCCTAGGATAATATTAATTTTTTACCAAAGAGACGGTTACTAATCATTATTATAAAGGTTTTGTATTTCCCAATGACTGAAAAAGAGAAAACCGATATTGTTGTGTTTTAATCACTTTACGTATTCAGTGCTGCTTATAGCTTCATCGAAGTAGCAGTATTAAGCCAGAATTTACAAAATCTCACCTTGCATAATATAACAACTTAATCATCCTTCATCCGAATGGGGTAATTTTTGCGTTGTCAAGTTGGCCGATTGATAAAGATAACAAAACCATGTATAGATTGTTGAATTTCATAATTGTATGAAATTACGAAATCAAGCTTTTCATATAAAAGACCAAATCCTTAAGTATTCTCTACCTAATTGTGTCTAGAAAATAAAATGCTTAGAGTGTGATACGATAAACATCGGACAAACATTACGAAAAATCACGATGAGAAGAAATGAACACCGTAGATCAGTGCATCTGTTCAACCATCGAGAAAATCAGTTGAACTAGAAAAGCTTAATAAATCATCAGGCGTAGGCATCTACACACTATGGAATCAAGTCACATAATTGATTTTTACAATATTGAAATAATCCAGAAAAATTTCAGAAATCATAAAGAACTTCTGTTATCAGAAACACTTCATATCAAGTGGAATCCGAATTTTCAAGTATTGGTTTTTGTAGGGATTTTGTTTGATTGCATGGAGGATTTAATCATGAGCTGACATCAGTTAGAGAACCACTGGAAAACCTGGGAGTACTGGACAGCCGTTTCGTCCTAGTTTGGGACTCCTCAGCAGTACGCACCCACCGGGATTCGAACCCAGGACCTTCTGGTTACAAGGCGAGCTCGTAGACCATTGAGCCACTGGGACCCGATCCAATGGTCCTTGAATTCTAACTTCTGCCAGTTCACGACATAGCGCGACCACTTCGCAATGTCTTCTTCGATGAGTTACTGCCTCATGTTCGACCTGCTGTACCCTACTGGTCACGGCTTCCCACTAGAACCCCAGGTTAACTGCCTGAATAGGGCCAGTCACTAGTGAGCATCAGATGAATTTTCAAGTATTGGTTTTTGTAGGGATTTTGTTTGATTGCATGGAGGATTTAATCATGAGCTGACATCAATCATGCAATCAAACAAAATCCCTACAAAAACCAATACTTGAAAATTCATCTGATGCTCACTAGTGACTGGCCCTATTCAGGCAGTTAACCTGGGGTTCTAGTGGGAAGCCGTGACCAGTAGGGTACAGCAGGTCGAACATGAGGCAGTAACTCATCGAAGAAGACATTGCGAAGTGGTCGCGCTATATCGTGAACTGGCAGAAGTTAGAATTCAAGGACCATTGGATCGGGTCCCAGTGGCTCAATGGTCTACGAGCTCGCCTTGTAACCAGAAGGTCCTGGGTTCGAATCCCGGTGGGTGCGTACTGCTGAGGAGTCCCAAACTAGGACGAAACGGCTGTCCAGTACTCCCAGGTTTTCCAGTGGTTCTCTAACTGATGTCAGCTCATGATTAAATCCTCCATGGAATCCGAATTGTCTGAACTGAATAGGAATGATGGACTAAAACAGAATTTGACCTGGTTACAAAACCTCCCTCCACCATGAAATGACAAAATCAAAACGAAAGTGATAAGCAATTTCGTCACATAAATACACGCTGCGTTTATAATTTCATACACTTATCAAAACCAACAATCTACACATGTTTTTGTTATCTTTGCCAATTGACAAAACTGATAACGTAAAAATTACCCCATTCGGATGAAGGATGATTAAGTTGTTATATTATGCAAGCTGAGATTTTGTAAATTCTGGCTTAATACTGCTACTTCGATGAAGCTATAAGCAGCACTGAATACGTAAAGTGATTAAAACACAACAATATCGGTTTTCTCTTTTTCAGTCATTGGGAAATACAAAACCTTTATAATAATGAATATCATACACCCAATGCCGAAATTTTTAAAAAATGTTAAATGTAAACTTGGTTCGGACATATATAAGATAGTTACTATTTACATTATGTTGTACACAGCTTCAGTGGTATGTCTTAACTATCATTATCTGAAAACAAACTTTCCGGATTAAGGAGAAACACACAACGTTTAGTTGTCGCTTTGTACGTTATTTCATAATGTGGTCACTGTGCATACATATAAATATGAACAAGATAACAAGAAATTCATATGTGTTTATTGAAGCGGATACAATGGACTGACGGAAAATTGTTTGTTAAGCTCCACTATGGACCTCTAACGTACGTAATTAACTCTTTTATCTCTGATTCAACTGCCGATCTCTCGTCGTCCTTTCAGACAACATCTTCAGTGCAGGTTTTAATGTAAAGTCAAGTTTTTAAAATTCTCCATGTGTTATATAATTGTATCTCTTGACAACCAGGTTGCTGTGGTTGCTTGTGGTAATTTACATCGGCACTAATCGTTTATATTGACTTGGAATTCGAACTCTTTCACTGTGAAGCTTATTCTCTCTACGTTGATAAATTTGATTTATATTAATGTGACTGTTTATTACTGATTCATTCAAGTACCAGGTTTCGAGAAATTCCTTGGTATTTTCAGTGTTTCAGTTTTTAAATTTTCCCCATCATATTGGTGTTCATAAGTGTCCACGTGTATCAATACGAAAAAATGTGTACATATTGTGTTGTTTCCCAACTGGTTTATGATCTTGGATTCTGAGTCAAAGAGGACAGTTTTATTTGGTCGCTTTTCATTTATTCTAATCTTATACTAATGTAAAAACTGGTGTGGAATATTAACTCATTCCGAGTTTACTTGGATGGTTGTATACGCTTTTTATTACATTCTTTTCCATAGACGAACATGGGAAAAACAAAGCTGATGTTATATGTTTCTCATAAAATTTCTTACTGTTCACAATAATATGGTGTGAAGAATAATTTAGTATGTGGATGGATTTGTATTTAAAATATTTACAGTTTACTTTATGCCTCTAATATCATAATTCGTTTACTAAACTGTACAGTCACCAGAGTAGCCATTTTTGTCGATATTTAGAAACTGAGAGACGAGTGACAACCAAAGTAGTTGTCTGCTTCGAAGTGTGTTGATCAAAACGTATGGAAACTAATTAAGATTAGACTTTGGGCATATGAATTTTTCAATGGCTTAACGAAACTCATCGAAGTAATGGAATGAGAAAGCGTACGTACTTCGAGTAACTTATGGATTAAAACTGCGAAGACTGTGGTGGCACAGCACTCATAATATCTCGGTACACAATAGTTCATAACTGATTATTGTAATACTTGCCCCTACATTACTTAAAAAGTATACTGTAAAGCCCTATGCGTATTCTTAGCAACAATAAAATCTGGCAACCCTGGTAACAAATCAACCAAGAGCCCACTGCTCAACAAATATGCAGAAGAAAATGGAGATTAATTCGACATAAACTGAGGAGGCTATCAAGGGGGATCCGTGTGGGAAGCGACGAGTGTGCTATCCGAGGATGGTATCGAAGGGATTATTCAAGGAGGAGATGACAGGTTATGAGCCATCATGCACCCAGATGAAGAGGAGAACAGAAAATCAAACAAAGTGGAGATGTGTTGTTGAATGAAGCCTTATATTTCACTAAGAGCTCAAGGGAATAATAAATAATAATGATAATTTATTGAATTTTGTCATTGTCTTAAACTCAGTGTTTCAAAAAGTTGAGTTAACATCTTATCCTTTTCCTCTGTTTCTTTCCTTTTTTTCCTCCACAATTATCAGTCATAATACCACAGATGATTTCTGCGTATACGGGCACTGTTTATTTAGCGTCTAATGGACAGCAAGGTATGTGGCTATAACAAATAACATTTTCTATAATTTTTCTTCTTGCCTATTTCTGAGTTTTGTGTCAGTTCCAACAAATTCAGGTAGTAAAGAATGAGTAATTGTGTGCACTAGTTTATACAGATTATTTACTTGAAATAAAATGTTCATAATATTTTAAATAAAGGTGAAAAGTAAACTTATCAGATCCAAAGGTTTTGAAGAATACTAAACTAAATTTCACGGTTAGATTTTATGCCCTGCATCTGCATTATATGCTGTAACTAAAGAATTCCTGTGAGCTGGATCTAAAGACACTGAATATCTGTCAAGCAGGATCCTTATATTGGTAGAATTTCGAAATTAAAGCTAATTGGGTTTCGAATCACTGAAATGATTTGAAGGCCTCAACACACATGCTAGCAAGACAAGTGGTTCTCACTACTGAGGGTTAATCACGTACAAGATCATCATTTTACTGCAGTCTGGCATATCATTAGACGGATAACGCAGAAATCATTGGTATTAATTCTTGCATGACTCGGATTTTCATTCTGCTTTCAGTCACTACTCATTATCAAAACAAGTGATTCAGCGAAGGGACTCTTTTCAACGAATTTATTATCAAACTGTACAATCATTTATACATATATATACCCTTATTTTGATTTTCCATATTTCCCAACGGAAATTTTCCATGATTATCAATAAAAGAGCGCTAACTAAAGGCAATCTGAAATATCCTCATTATCCATTAAATGTGTCAAGCAAACAAACAAACCAAATAGATAGGGAATTCTCTTGCAAAGGGAGATGAACTTTGTTCTTAGACGTTTTTGAAAAAGAAGAATGTCAATCTCAGAAGTTAAATCATGCATGAAACTGATCCTAAACAAAATACTGTGAACTACTCTAGATGCAACTGCCTTCACTCTGTGTTGGCGATCAGATGGCTGAACAGAAAGTATAAGCAGCGAGAAAGTTTGACAGGCAGTGAACTAACTAAGAATCAATCAATCTTTCAATATATATATATATATATATATATATATATATATATATATATATATATATATATATATATATATATATATGGTGAAGGAAATGAAGACGGGTTAGACAGACGCTAAGGAAATAGTTGAGTAAAATCCCACCCAAGGCAGGCAGGCACGCCTTCAAGTTGAGCCTGAATGAGGAGCTACAATCTTTGGATGAGGGAGTCTTAGTGTGATATAGAGGAGACAATGTGAGGAGGAAATGAAATTTTACGGACAATTGTGCAGCTAAGTAAAGACAACCACAGAGAATACGATGAGATGAAGGTATACTGATGAAGGCGTATCTTCCTCTTGGAACCTAAGGAAATAATAGTAATTCTGTAGGCCCACAAGTCTGCTACAACGTTATCTTTAGAAGCAAATTTATGTTGTGAATATAAGATTTATTATAATTTTAAGATATAGTAAGAATTAGACTTCTTGCCTCACACGTTTTTACTTTTAGTGTTCTACCATTCTTAGGTATGTTCTAAAACGTATATGGTTTTGTTCTGAAGCTTTCTTTGATTTAAATTTGTTGTGTGCTTAGGAAAACCGAGATCGTCAACATTATGGATTTTGCAAGAAAGAACTGATCAGTTAGTTTTTACTTGGACATCATTTGCTTTGAATACGTTTGATTATTTGGAAATCGAGTTAGACAGACTATCAATCTCAGAAAAAATGCATAAGGATGCAACATTTTCACTTTTAAACGCTATTGGATCATCATGTGTAGACGAGAAATATAAAGTTCAAGCATCAGAGAAGTATTTGTCAGTGTTTACTTCAGCGAAAGAACAACGATACTTAACTTACAAACGAGGTAAGTGCTACATTAAAATGTGTTTCAATTTTGCTAAAAATGAAAAGCATACAATAGATTTATGATTAACAGGTTGCATTTGTAGGAGGGATAGTCATAGAAACAGTAGTATAAGGCTATTCATTTACTTAATTTTTTTACTAGATGTAGACAGTCAGTCTGCAGGAAAGTTAGCTTGTTCTTTTCTTAAAGCTGCTCATATATATATATATATATTATACATGTTTAAGAGTTCATCAGCTGCGAAACGAACTTCAGACAACATACGTAACAGGCTATCATTCTACTACTGTTTATGAGTCATCAAAGAAATCTTTTCTTGTAACTTGCCAAAAACTGCACAAATAGCTTTCCAGTACTTCTTATAGGCATAGCAAGGAACTCAGTCACATACCAATTATTGGACTATGATCATGAGGTAACATTTAGCGTAATCTTTATACTCATTAGTAAGCAAGGTGATGCGATACTCTTGGTTTCGCTGAAGCCTTAGCAATGAGATTGAAACAGCTGGAGTTATGTACAGAAAAACGGAGGGATTAGTTAGCTTAAATCTACCTTGTTAGCATACTTTTATTTTAGCTTTGTAATTTTCCTTCCCTTCCATCTTCTATTTACAAAGTTTTTTCATTATTATTATTATTATTAGTTTATTTGACATACTGTTAGGTTGTTTAGGATCTGCGCAAATCGAAAATCAAATGTGTGTATTAATCTTAGCGAGGAGTATTCACATTATCTTATAGGTTTACATTGGACATGCCACAATCTCGTCATTTAGTTTTATATGATTTAGATATGTTAAGCCTATTTGTTTCTTACAAGGTGTCTCAGTATTTCACTAACATCAAATCTAGATTTTCTATAGTTGTATTAATTCTACCACAATAACTCCAGTTTATGTGTTAATATGTGATAAAAGTTATTGACTTAATAATGAAATTAACAGATTATCACTCATCGCATATTGATCATGTATTCCTTGAAACTAATCCTTATTAGTTTGCAGTAATGTTCATCGATTTGTATGTATTTAATCTTAAACAACTGTATAAACAACAATGTCTGTATGGCATTTAGCTGACGCTTCTGACCGAAATATATGCATTCATTAAATACTGCTTTTTTTCACAGCTGTTGCTCATTTTAATGTTTAGTGTATGAAGAAAACAGGCATAAAGTCCAGGACGAAAGTGTCATGTTTAATTAATTAGGCTTGTTAGCAAAAGATATCCCCGACCGTGTCTGAATTTATATATTTACTCTGAAGTTCAACTCCAAATCACCCACTACTATATAGTCACAGACGTTACTCCCAAGTTATGCAAACAAAAAAAGATTCGTCTCTTATAAAACCAAAGTGGAAACATTGATCACTCAGTTCTCACGTTTCGACTGACCACTACCTCAAACTATCTAACTGCTATCAAAAGTGTACTGTAATAGAGAGATAACTAACTAGCTTATTGAGCACACTGTAAATTCAATTGATGCAACTTATTCACTACTAAGGACCGAAGAAAAATGCATATTAGCAGATTGTAGATTTTTGTTTAAGAACATTATTTTATTGCAGCATGATTTCGTTATGGATTGCCTGAATCCCTTCCTAGTGACTGAAAGTTCAGCAGGCTCACCTTATAATTTGAAGGTGTGGGATCATAGTTATCTACTGCCAAACTGGGACAAACCACAGATTTCCACTACTCACCCGTCTTGGATTTTAGTGATTCTTTTACTGATAACAATCAACGAGCAAGCCTGAAACCAATTAGCCCCTGTAAACTAACGCATATATTGTGATAATTAAATTGTTTAATATCTTACATTTCAAAATGATTATTTTTCCCACTTACTATTAGATTTTCAAGTGTAGATTTACCGGGATTTAATCCATATGAAGTCTGATCACAGACTGATTTCACCTAGAGGACCACTGGAAACCAAGAAGTTCTACTTATGAGTTGTCTAACCCAGGACCTTCAGGTTACAAAGCGTAAACCGTACAGACACTGGGATGGAATATTATGGTCCATGAATTCTAGCTTCTGTCAGTTCGCGACATAAAACCTGACAGCTAGCTAATTTCATTGGTGTGTCTATCTTTAAGCCCAGCCTACTGGATCCCATTCAGATCATGGGTGCGTTCCATTGAAGGGTCTTAAACAAGGACGATACATATATATTCAGTACTTTTTGGGATTTTTTTTTTTGATTCTATAAGTAGAGTCATTCCGTGGTCACACCACTGTTTAATATTTAATTCATGGATGAAAATTGAAAATTAACTTAGGTATTTAATTGTCTATATTTATACCGATATCACATGTTGAAAATTCCATACTTGTACCAAAAATACGGTGTGGAATCAAGCTGTAATAAAAAAAAGTGTATTTAAAAGTAAGTAATCGTCTATTTAAAGTAATTCGATTAAACTTTCACATGGGTTTTATGTGTTTTCCCTTTTTGATTTCGCCTCTCAACAGTACCTAGAATTGCAACAGCCAATCTTTCAGTAAAGAATCAAAAAATCGCCCAGGTACAGTGGAAATTAGAAGATAAACCATGTGGTAAAAATGATCCCGTACTGATCTTTAAAAAAACTTCAACTGGATCATTTGAAATGCACATATCATCTACCAGTGTCTCAAAGTATTCATTCAATAAAGGTGTTGGAGACCAAGAGCAAGAAGTATTTTTAACTGTCGTCCACAAAAACTCATTTTCTTTGCCGTTCCTAGGTGAGTTGTTTGGTGTTTTATTTCGTACAATGTGTTTTGCTTTTTAATTAATTAATACGACCCAAAAATTTTTACTAGGGTTCAATTCCCTGCTGATGCACTCATTAATCTCGTTTAGCTGGTAGTAGTCAGCCCTGTAAAAAGTGAAATATTGGGCATGAGGTTGAAGATTTCACCCCATTAAAAATATCCTAATATTCCGGTGAAACTCTTAAGCTCAAGCTTATAACCCAATGTTCTACTTAGAATGCAAGGAAATAATAAAAAAATAAATTTAACATTAAGTTCACTATTCGACCTCATGATCAACCCAAAAATTAAGTGAGACGGATTTACTGTGTAACTAATACATATGTGCATAAAAATACATTAGATAAAATAGAAAACAATGGCTTCCAGATAGAGATTCAGACTAGCTAAGTTTATTCATTTTAGTTAATTACTTATTGACTGCAAAAGTTTTCATATGTATCTCTCAAGTAGTATACTTCACATACCCTGTTGTGATATTTGTTAACACCAACGAGTGACTTTTGTCGACAAACATAAAAATGGGAACAAAAAGTACAAGCAAAGAATGTTGAAAAGACAAAAGAGATTGAAAACAAGCTGATTAGAGTACCTTTTTAATGCAATTTTAAAGTAATAGCTCAGTATCATGAAGATATTTCACCTACTAGCTATGGTAAACTGAATATATATACATATATATTCAGTTTACCATTTATATACATAGCTCAGTGTTAACTTCTTTGAGTACAGCACTGGGTGACGTGGGTTCGAATCTCGGAAGGGACATGAGTTCTTTCAAGGCAGTTGCAGATACTCCTTGCTGACTGGTGAGTGCCTACAAGTACGAAACCTAGGTCTAAGACTTCCTGCCAATTACCTTCAACCATCTAACAACAACAATTCATAGTGCTCTGTGATGGCGAGCTACCTGGAATGGTGGTCACATTGCAGACCTGACTGACAGAATTTAGTCTGCACCCAGGAAAGGATTAGACATATCACCCTATTTACTAGTGTCCAGTCAAAGTATATATATATATATATATATATATAAGGAGAGAGAGAGTTTAACCCACCACATATAGATTATGGTGTTTTTGAAACGGCAGGTGACTATCAAACGAAATCTACTGAAGTACTTAAAATGCTAGAGGTAAAGTTTAGAGTAATACAGGTAATACTTAGGTAAATAGAACAGGAATGCCTTCCTTGGGCCACTGTATGATAAGAGGATAGCTATTTGGATAGAACACTAAGTAGTAACTAATAACTTGAGCTTAGTTGGTCATTTGTGCGGACTGAATTCTATCAGTGAAGTTTGCAGTGTGATCACCAATTCAAATGGTGTATCATCACTCGAGATTGCTGATGTAAGATGATTGTAGGCAATCGATAAGAAGCCTTTGGCCTAGGTTGCAAGCTTTCAGGCACTCACCAGTCAACAAGACATATCTGCAGTCTTCAAGTAAATAATTTCTTCTGTGATAAATTAGAGACGAAACTAACTCACGTCTAACTAAGAAGAAAGTAAGCATTCTCATTTGTAGATTTCTTTACGACGCGAAACAGTGCACCTTAGGAGAAGACATCGAATATCACCAATGATCAGAATGAAGAATATAACCTACGGAAAAAATATTCAGTCATTAGACTGAAATCTGATAACTCAAATCGTGTTTTCAGACGATAACTACTAACTTCCAAATGTTTTTTCTTCTGTTTTCTTACTAAAGTCAAGTCATTAATTTTAAAGATCACGAGATAACTAATTTTAACATACTTTTTCTTCTTAAATGACGTGATATATATTTTACTGAATTCAACAAAGTTCACCTAATGCCAGAAGATAATTATTAACTAAACTGTTCAATTAGAATATTTTAGGCATTTCTAAAGATATCATACCTAATCTTCATTTATAACGTTCTGGTTAGTGTTGGTTGTTACATAATCAGGTATATATATGTATAGTTTTTGCTGGAAGACGAATTCAATCCATTGCATTCTCTGGTGACTCAGGAAAAATACCGCTTGTTTTTGAATTAAAACTAGGATAAAACATCCATACGCGTTAATTAATTCTTCATTTTGTGTAATAATGTTTCCACTAAACCTTTAGCATCTCTAGTTATTATAGTCGTTTTCCAACCAGTAAGTTATAATAGCAAAGTGGGATAGTTCATTTTCATTCCACTCGGTCTTCTGACAACACCTTTACTTGACTTCATGACTGCTCACATGATTTCAATTCCTGTTCACAGAGTCTCCACCATATCAACCATAAAACGAGGCCTAACTCGTTATTTCTAATTCGGGTTGCATATTTTTTTGATTATAGCTTGATTCCACACCGTAGTTTTGATATAAGCATGGAATTTTCAGTATGTGATATAGGTAGCCCAAATTTTGCAGGCCTACCATTGATATAAGGTGTCGGCAGGGGATCGAACCCCACACAATGTGCCTGCTCGGTGGCGGTCCTAACAACTGTGCCACCGACGCACCAGGACCTTTAAATTATTACACTCTTGCGTCTATTTTGTGTATTTCATATTCATGTCTACTTCCTTTTCTGTATTTATTGGGTAATAAATAGGTCGTTCACTGGTATACTGTCAGAGTTCTTTATTCCTTGTCCTTTCTAGATGGTCACATGATCATCAGTTATGCAGTTTTCTTCCAGGTGTATTTTTTCAGTGATGTTGCCTGTCTCCAGCGTTTTCCTAACAACCGCTGAGAAGCAGCATTTTGTAGCTTTGTTCTTCTGTTTATATGTCTTGAACTGAAAATCTGATATGTCTCTGGCTTCTTTGAAGACTGTCAAATTGACCTTGAAAGTCCTTATCACTGGATAATAATCCTGACCTACATGTTATGTATTTTCGATTTTATTCCCATCAGGCTGGGTTTTGACTTTCTTAAGATTTAGGCGCAAACTACCTCCCTTTGTGTATATCTTTTTGGTTGAAAACTTTGCCTCAAATCACTAAATTACTGGTGCTGCAGAAGTTTGTGAAAAGATCTTCGCATTCAACCATTTTTTGTGTGCTTTGAGATTCATGATGAGTACTGTCCCTGTGTTGTCTGATTCCAGTTTGTCATTTATGTTGTCCATAAGGATTATGGCACTACCATGTGGAGTATTTTTGAATGCTGTTTGCAGTTGTCTCTAGAAGTCCTCTACCTTTTTTATTCTGAGTTGCTTTTAGGAGGGTGACATTGTATAGTTGTGAGCTGTCTGCCTTTTGGGCTGAATCTTGCAATCGTGATCCTGAAGGAGGTTGATTCCCACTGAATGACATTCTTTGACACTGTTACTGACATTGTGACAGCTATGCCATTAGTGTACCCGTTGTTATGGGCCGGGTGACCACAGGAGATCAATAACTATGCAGTGAATTATTCAAAACAATTCACAACCTTTCTTTCCATTCCCACAGACTTCTAACACTTTCTACAGTATATCTTCTTGATTTCTCTGTAGTTTCAGCAGTCCCACAATCTTCATACACGATTAGGGTATTGTATATCTTCATGCTTAATGTTCGCATCATATAAAGAAAGCATATCATCCGACTGGTATTCTGAAGGCTTTCACCCGCCGGCATCATGAGTGCTCCAGTTAAAGAGTCTTTCTGCTTCCAGCCGAGAATAAGTGTATTTTTTCTGCACTTCAAAGTTTCCATAACGATTGTGTTGTTCGTTGTGTGGTTGAGTTTGTTAGCCGCATATTCGACCTTACTTCTTTTCAAATTCTAGAACATGTTGTTAACTAGGCGAGATGATTTTGTGTAATGTAAAAAAATTGTTAACAATCTTTGACATTGATAAATAGTCATGCAGTGCTTCTTTATTTAGTAGTTTTGCAGCCTGAACTAAATTTTCTTTCGAGAGGAGCCCATGTAATCCTTGCAAAAGTGTCATGCTGGTTTTCTCTGTGTCTTTCTAATTTCAGTATCTGAAGCACAGAAGCGGGTAGGATTCGTCGATCCTCTAAAGGCAGGAGAACCACGCGTGGAAGAGACAGGCATTGCAAAAGCTTCCAGTGAGTGCACATTTTTTTAACGTTTGCAAATGTATGCCTTATTATGAAAAGTATTATCGCGTAGTAGAATTTGTCATATCATATATCTACAGAAATTTCTCATTATACAGACAATTAAAACGGTAGACAACAGAAATGAATTGCAGTTTATACTTAAAATGGTGATTTATCAATCTATGCATCATTCGTAAAGAAGTTGTGCAAAAGAGACATGGAAAGAAAATCACAGTTTCCATCGTTTCACTCACTGTATATGTTGTTCGTGTTGTTCTTGTCACCACTTAATTAGCATAATGATCTTTCAATTTTAGAACTGAATACGTTGAAATTTTAATAAATTCTTTTGTTTTTATTGCTTTTCAGGTTTTGAAATCCCGTGGAAATCAGTGTAAGTTCCCTATTTATTTTAGTCCTGTATGATTTATTAAGTTTGTAAGATTGATTACAAACTGACTTCAATTAGAGAACCGCTGGAAACCAGGGAGTACCCGACAGCTATTTCTTCCTTGTTAGAGACTCTGGCAGCATGAACCAATGAACTCAACAGAGGTCGAAACTTGGACATTCAGGTTACTAGTCTAGCTCATTGATCATGCAGCGGGTAGGGCGGAATTTATTTTCCGTTGATTCTAACCCCTGCTTATTCGCGATATATGGCGCGATCACCATCCGAGTACATCAGTGTGTATCTGTCAACATACCCAGCTTGGTAGACCATTGCTGGTCATGACTGATCTCTAGAATCTTGAGAAAATTCATTATGTATTCAATCATTATTGAGCATTAGATTAATTTTCAGTTGTTAGTATGCAGGAGTCATTGTTGTGTTTATGAAGAGTCACAAACAAGGACTAAACAGTTGTCCAGTCCTGCACGGTTTCCAGTAATAATCTAACCGAAATCGTTTTGTGGTCAATCGTGTAATCATTTAGATCTCTGCAAGTCAGTAATTTTAAATGTCCTAAGTTTAGTGGTTTTGCTAATAGAATGTGTTACACAATTCCTGCGATTTACGCTCTAATCAAGTGACGTGATCACTAAGTGGCAGTTGACTAGTTAAACTATTCCACTGTTTTCCATACCATGTCTTTATTAAGTATCACAAGAAAGCAATTTGTCTCGATTTGAAGTGAAGATAGCATAGATGTTTTACTGATATAAGTATAAAACTTGGCCACTGTGGTAAAGCATAACTCCATTATGGATAATAATGGAGCATAGACGTTTATTGCAAGATTCAAGCGGTTTCTACCATTGAGTTGCTGTTTGAAGAGTCCAAAAGTTAAACGTCAAATATGTGAATAAAAATGTCACACAATACTTTTTGAGTTATAAGAGCTTGTAAATACATCATATGTCATTTTGATCTTGGAGAAAAGCCATCAGAGCATTACAGAAAAAGGAAACAATAAGTGACATCGAATCAGAATTACATAATGATTAGAAGATAGTTGCGCAATATGTGAAGCAGTTTTTAATGTGGACAGATGCGAACAAATTGAAGTATTTGGTTTTATAACTGAAGATAAAAAATAAAGGGAAAAAATGAAATCAACAAAGGATCCAGACAGAATTAAATCCATAGAAATCTAGAAGTTGGACTCTGGCTTCTGGCGCTTCTACCCTGCAAAAAAGTCGGAACCACACAGTGGTTTTGATAGACTTATTTTCACCTTGTGAATGCCTTTGTATGATTAGTTGGTGGTGATACTGCGAATGGCGTTGATGAAATGTTCAGTTATAGAAATTTTAGTTTAACCAGGGTGCTATTTTCTAGCCACATTGGATAGTGTTCTCTGACTCGTTTTGAAAGTACGCGCACGTATCGACCTATGTACCTAGCTGCACGACGGAGTAGTCATATTTTCGCATTAGTTGTTGTAATCGTTCTAATCGTCCGTAGGCGGCTACTATTATTTTGTTAGGGTTCATTACTTTGCATGCATTCATAAACAGTTTCATGAGAACAGTTATCCTAAAATGTTTGCTAAAAGCACAAATTCTTTCAGACTTCGCTGAAGCGTAATAGCAGCCAGCATGTCAGACAATATTAATTATTTTTTCCTGTTATAATCAGGCAGTGAGGCATTCATAGCTGACGTTAAAAGACAGTAATTATTTCATTTATTCTCCTGGTGGTAAACAATCATTTTCTCTTTTTTTTCTCTTCCTGTTCATCATCTAGATTGATCGGAGCAACTTTTGTGGTTCTCGGTTTATGCGTCTGTAGAGTCTTTTATAGTTTAATCAAAGGTTGATATACTTGTCAAGCATTTTTAAAACACACAACGTTTTGTAATTAATGAATAACGGGTCTCTTTTGTGTAAAACAATCAATGTAATTACCTATAATTTTTTTCGCTCAATTTCAATTATTTACAAATATGTTTCTGAGAAAATGTACAAAGTTTTCTCTTTTCTGTAGCACATTTAATTCTTACAGAATCTACGTATAAATATCGCTGTATTATTGCAGTAAACTTTCGCAAACAAATCAACATTCGCTATCAACAGTAATGCATTTATTTGACGCTTATAATTCTATTTAAAAAAAAATATTTTGACAATGAAAAATTATGCTTTGTAAAGTAAATCAACATTATGAATATGTTGTCTGATATATGATATCAACAGGAGACATAGAATCCTATTCATATAATCAGAAGACAAGAATTGTAACCTCTGATTGTTTGGGTTTCAATGGACTTCAATAAAGGATATTAGCTATTTGAAGTAACCTAGGTAAACCTATAGATGGCGGCTATATTGGCTATGGTGATCTAAACAGGTGATATTACTTTATCCAGTAGGACAAGTACGGTATGTGTACTACTGAAAACCATATGTTTAAGTTGTGTATGGTACAACTTGGTTTAACAGAAGCGACGGGAATAGATTGATCAAAGGTATGACAATAAAAGAAGGAAGAAATTAAAAGCTTTAATATTCTTTTCAAAATGAAATTTACTTATACAATGGTAAAATCCTATTTTCAAAAAGTGTTAATTATTTTGTGAAGAACTAACTTTCTCACCAATTAACATATTCTATTAAACGATTTACGAATTTGTGTTATATTTTTCTCTTTGTGTATATGGGATGAATTTCTCAAAACTTAAGTGTGACAGAGTTACACCAAAGCGAGTGAGAGGAATGAGACTAGTCATTGTAATAGGTTATTACTGAACTAGAGATAAGAAACTGCTGCAGGATTAGATTTGAATTATAGTGCTTGAGAATGATGACCTGATATCCTACCAGTTGCACTATGAAAATCACACTCCAGAGATATCATCATTTTTCTGGAATAAACGTTGGTTATGATCGGCTGTCATGTGAATCTGTGTTGCTACGATGTGATTACCTCTAAAGAAAGAAGACTGTTAGTAAGCATAACATGGTCTGAAATAAAATATAATATTTCTAATTCTGGATCTTCCTCATAGAAAGTATGGACCGATGTGACAGTGATATTGACTGAGCTCGCATGCATCCTAATTGTTGATGTTCAGATACACTAATAATTAAGGATTACTTAAGTATTATCATTTGTTGTGGAAATCCCCATTATAAAATCTTTAATTACCACGAACCAATGGTGTTCAAAGAGGTGGCATTCAGTGAAGAGTTGTATTTTTTCAGCCATCTGATTCTCAAGCAGTGCACTTGCATGATATCACCGAAAAGTGTAACTGTCCACTGAACACCTTTTTTTATCTGGTTTAATTGGGACTACTAAGCTTATGCAAACTAAGTTATTCATGCCATCAAAGTTATTGTCTTACTCCACATTGGCTTCCTATAGTTAGAGAACTGACTGGACAGGTAGATATTACCAAGATTTTGGAGAAATAAAATATTACCTTTTAAGACTAATAACAATAATAATAATGGCTTTATTCTAGAATCAATGTGTTTAAATACAGCACAGAATTTTCCAGTATATTTCAATTGCAAAATACCTATAATTCCTTCATGGTATCTAAGTAAAACAGTATCTCGAAGTACATTGTGTGAAACTGTCTTCCTTTATCTGAAGTAATCTGCAATAATCTGTTTTTGTTATCCTTCATTTCCTTGCAGAAATTTTCTACACTTTACTGACAACTCATTAAAGTGTCCGTGATTTCATGAAGTGATCCAGAAACATAATTATGTGGTTAAAGCAGTAAGCAATGGGTCACTTATGCTGGCCGCAAAGTTATGTAATCCATTGATTTAAGTAGGCCCCTGAGAAGGCTTAAAGCATTACTTGTTACCTCAAGTTAATAGCAGAAGTTCGACACCAATCACGGAGAAATATTTATGTCAGTACCACCTAAAATCCACGTCTTTTTCACATAGCCTGCCTTTCACTTATTAGATGGATAGCTAACAGGGTACTAGAGAAAAAATCATTCTTTTGCAGCCCTCACAATAAGTGTCTGGAATTCATAAAATTCATCTTCAAGACAAGAAGAACAGGACTGTCAGTACTAAAAAAGGGAAATTTGATCTCGAGTCTTCCCTTTAGACGCAGACAGCCTACAATATAGAGAGAATCGCTGGAATAAAAGTATATACTTCTTACCACACTAAAATTAAACATAAAAGTGAAAGTTTCAGGGAACCAAAGTAAGTGAAATGCGGTTTCATAGACAATACAAATGAAAAGGAAGGAAAATAATTACAGTTCTCTTAATTTTGAAAGAGCATTTGAGAAGTCGTGACGAATAGATCACCTAGTAAAGTACAGGAGAAGTGATTTTAAGGTGATGTGAAGCGAGTTAAGTGATTTAAGATCAGTAGGTAAGAAAGCTGTGCGTCGGTGGTATAGCGTTTAGGACGCTCGCCGACCATGTACATGGTGCGGGGTTCGATCCCCATCCGACGCACTCCTTTACCTCGCTAAGCCAGAAATAATCCTGGTAAAGAGGAAAGGTTGAGCATGAGGCTAGCAATTCCATTCTGTAAAATGAACACTGCTACAGAAACTTCAAGCCACTAGCTTGAAACCCTATGTTCCACTGGGGAACGTGAAGGAAAAAAAAGGTAAGAAAGCGATCATCATCATAATAATGGTAATAGAAAACAAGAAGCACAATTCTATAGTAAGCAGAATAAGTGTCATCAGGTTAAAATGAGATTAATGGCGGTCTCTTTCTGTATTCAGAGGTTAGATTAGAGCTGCTTCATAGCAACAGATTCAGAGAAATTTGCTGAAACTTAACTTTAGTCATGTTTTCCCTCCTTGGAGCATCTAATTTAGTTCCGAATCCTCTTCGTGAAATCAACTAAAGTAACAGATCACAAGTTATCCTTTTTGATTAGGGGAATGTTGTCTAGTTTGACGTAATACTATTCAGATAGTTTAGATTTATGTTAGAAGATAGAAAAAATGAAGTCTTTAATAAATATTTTATATTACGTAACTTTTACTTTCTATTCCAATGTCTGACAATTCAGCTAAAGATGAAGGCATCTCTTATTCTATTTGTTGGTTTCAAAATTGAAATAGTCGGTATGACGACCTAATACTCCATGATGATATTTTCTGTCCCTGACTTTGGTCTTCTTCTGGTACGTCACCTGATAGGAAGGAAAACAAAGTAAACAATGAGTTGAATTGTATCTCATGAAATTATGTACATTGTGATTAGACACATTTTTGAAGAATGATCGCGAACTAAATTCAGAGGGAGATCCACTGAAAACCAAGGGATACTGGACAGCTATTTCGTTGTACTTTAGGACTCATTAACGGTACGATCTCGTGAACACACAAGGACTCGAACTCAAGACCGATTGGTTACAAGACAAGTCAGTATACCACTAAGACTCCAAGATAGAGTTCAATGGCCTGTTAATTCTCATTACTCACAGTCTGTGACATATGGCACGATCACCAGCCAATGTCACTGGCAAGTATTTCTCCTCACATCAACTAGAAGAAACTTGATAGTCACTAGTTTCAACTAGAAGTTCAGGCAGCTTCAGCTCATGGCCATTTGCAAGTTACCAGAAGAATACTTGTGTGTCTCAAATTTTATCATTATAATTATTATGGTAATCGCCTTCTGACTGACTGACGTGTAGTCACTTAATTCGCTTCAAATTCTTGTACACTTATTTATTCTGTACGTTACCAGCTGATTAGCTGACTGTTAATTCTGGCAGAAGTCATGGGTTGGCCAATACACCCATTTCAGATGGTTCGCTCCTCTTGCATACAGATGAAATATCATCAGTAGCCTGATGTTTCATGCTAGAAACATTTATACAGCCGACACTCTGGACGATGAAATAAGGATATTAGAAAACTTTTTGTATGAGAACGGATATCCTGAAAAATTTATTAAAGTCTCCATGAGAGGAAAAGATAGAAAGAAGTGTCTGCAAACGGTTCACAAGAAACGTATACATATGACTTAACCGTCTAAAGGAGATTCAGCCACTGAAGTGCATTGAAACTCGGAAAAACAATAGCCATAACATTATCTGAGGCAACACTGTGTTTAAAATTCTCCACTCGTTCTGTAATTATAAAGCAGGTAAAGGATAATCTGCCGAGTTTTGCCACTTCAAAATGTATTTGTAAATTTGACTGCTCACGCGGAGACAGTTATATAGATAGAACGACTCGGTAAGCTCACCGTCGCTTTCTGGATCATTGTGCAACGTGGCAGGGGAAAGGAGTCATAAGGTAAATCATGTGTTCTCTATTGGCACACCCGATGGATACGGAGCACAAGACTGATACAACTTCAGGTTTTACAATTCTATACAGGGTGCCATCTCAACTCCCTATAGCTTTCCTTGTAACCGGAAGGTCTGGGGTTCGAACCACAGTGGGTAAGTACCGCTGGTGATTCCCAAACTAGGATGGAACAACTATCCAGTACTCCCTGGTTTTCAATGGTTCTCTAACTGATATCAGTACGCGATAAACTCGTAAAAGTATGAGTTATATTTGTTACCTTATAAAGATGACTTCGTTTGCTACTGAATTTTAATTCAATGCATACAAGAACAAGGCAACCTGCTTCAATTTTGGGCTACCAAAAGATATCATTTTCCACCAGCTTACATTTCGGTTCCATTTGCTCCGACATTTTTGTCTGAATTAATCGCAAATGTCTTGAAATCGTATTATTCATATTCTTTACAATAATTTCTCCTCAGGTTCTTACAGTTATAAAATATAATATTTGTTGGCGTTACAATAATGGCCAGTTATGCGACGGAAACATTTGTAACGCAGAATAACAGATTAGTTATGGGGTGTCAAAATAAGTAGTCATATTTGTGTGACAAACGTGCTAGGCTGAAATCGATTACCAAATATTGTGAAATGAAAGACAATGGTGGTAAACAGTCATGATTGATTCGTAGAATGTGAGGTAGGAAAAACTGTCAAGTGTGTTCAAGGTTATAACAGGTGTCAGGTGAGTGGCTAGTACAAAGTGGTCTGAGTTAAACATGAGATAGTAAGACTGGAATGAGAGGTTCATAATGAGATAACGAATATGTTAAATGAAACAGGTGGGGGCATATATTGAGAAAAGGGATAATATCACTAATAATAAGTTTGGATAGTACCAATGGAAAATTCCATAGTACTGCGAGAATGTTTGAATGAAGGGTATAAATTATGAATAATAATAATAATAATAATTGAAATAATTAGCAAAGGAAACAACCAAGTGGGTTAAGGGGAAGGAGCATTCTTGGTGAGAATAAGGATCATTAGTCCAAGTTTGGCCACGGTAGGAACAGAGTCTGGACGTGTTCTTTTTGGATACAAATTTCCGGTTCAATGAATCTTATTGCAACAACTTCAATTATGTGTAGCAGCCGTTAGTGAACGCTGCGTCATAACGACTTCGGAGTTCGGTGTATAACCCCGAAGGCTGTGTTGGTATCGACTAAGTGTGAAAGGATCGAGCTTTTTATGCACTTAATTTTCCCCTTGCTGAACCGAGGTGGTAAATGTTCTCAAACCCGTAGACGAACCTGCTTAATCGCACGCCCTGTATAACTTGAAGCAGATAGGTAAGATATCTTTCAGTTGCTGGGTGAACATTGGACAGCTACTG